CTCGAACCGAGTCGAATTCCTCGCACCTCGACACTGTCCCTCTTTCTTCGCGCCTATCTTTGCCGCTTTCGTTCATTTTCGTTCCTTTTCGGGAGCCTCGATTGTTGCGACCCCTTTGTTGCGCGGATTTATTGGAATTGATCGGGGGGGATGATGAATTATGATGAAGTTTCGAGCCGAGGCGAGGTGGTGGTTCAGGTTTTTTGGGAAATTATTATTAAGGAACTGGATCATCGATGATTAATTTAATCGTCGATTTTATTACTAAAGATTAGAAATAATACAATGAAACTTGTCCATGTCATTCCGTACATTCGTTCCCGAAGAAAATTACATTATGCTTTTTATTACAACGAAAAGTATTGTATTTATGAAGCTCGTATGCGTTTCTATACATCTGTTCACGCTTTCCATTAATTTTACACGTTTCTTATTATGATGTGACTATATGTATTATATTCATATACTAACTAATATACATCCTACCCGTCCAAGTAGAATTAACGTCGATCTGGTTGGTGTTCCAGGTGGTGAGCTCGATGGACGCGATGAAGTATTCGATGGAGGCGGACAAGTATCGCGCCGCGTACATGCCACCTAGCACGCTGACGATGAGCATGTACTCGGACCCGAAATACTTGGACTCGAGTCCCAAGTCGTATCTCGACCGCAGTTACCTCGACTCGGCGACCAAGGCCTACTTCGAGCAATCCAAGCTCTACATGGACCAGAAGCCTGCCATCGCCGATTACAACAGGCCCACTTACGAGCACAACAAGCTCTACGACGAGTCGAGCCCGGGCAGCGTGGTGGGCGGCGGCGGGCCGACGAGGTCGCCGGCCGCTGAATCGCCCGACGTGAGCAAACAGCACGAGAGGACCGAGCAGGGCTCGTCGAGCGCGAGCTCCACGTCCACGTCCTCGGCGGCGAGCCCCGGCGCTAGTAGTCTGCCGGCCTATTACCCGGGCCCGGTGCAAACCGGGGGCATACTGGGCCCCCAGATGAGCCAGTACAGCGGCTACCAGACGGCGCCCGCGCCTGGAAACGAATCGTTCAGGCGACCGCTCACTGTCATCTTCTGACCCGATAGAACGTAGCTCTGATCCATCTTCGAGGAGCAATTGCCCTGATTTCGCTCCACTGGTGCTCGCGCGCGATGATGCTGGTGCTCGTGGTGGTGATCGTGACGCAACGTTTCGTAGGTAAACGTATATATGTATATGTGTGTGTACAGGGATGTGTATCGGATGTGTGCGGGTTAGGATGGGGATTTCTCGTTCTTGGAAATTTGCTTTTGCAAGGGAAATTGATTTTTGGATCTCTACGATACGTCTTCTTTTTTTATATTATACATTTTAATTGGATAGACATCTGGTATATTCGCTTCGATGATAAAGATACTCGTTGAGTATCCGAGAGTTATTGTATATTATAATTTAGTATTCTTAATTCAAAATATCTTTCTTTCTTAAAGATAATTTTCCGCGATCGAAATCTTGTCAAACGACATCGATTCCTGTGGTTGTTATACTTGCAATTTCGAATTCTGATTTCTTTAATTAAGGAAAATTAAAAATGTTTGACGTAATCATGATTACGTATATCATTGATTACATTAGTTATGCATCTATTAGTCTTGGAAGCGTAAAATCGCGATAGATTTAATTTGTTTCTTTTGTTTTTTTAATTTCTGTTTTTTTAATTTCTTTTGTTTTTTTAATTTCTTTTGCTTTTTTAATTTTTTTTTTTTAATTTCTTTTATTTTTTTAATATTCGAATTATTTGAGTTATTCAAATCAATTAAATAATTCGAATTATGACTTTATTAATCACTTAATGAAATTAAAATTAAGTGGTAATTATACGTTTAAAGGAATAAGTGTTCTTTTGTTTGAAAAATTTGAAATGTTTCATCGTATTTTCTTTTATGAGTAATCATAAGTATATAAGTTTATATCATATATTTATGTTTAATCATTTAAAAAAAATATAAAAATTTAACACATATAATTTTATATGATTATATGATTTATATTAATTTGAACGTTTGAAAAAGTAACATTTTTATCTATAATCTCTAAATTTAATACAACGATCATTGAAAAAGTTTTATTAGAATTCTTTGATTTATCTAACTCTTTTTTTATTCATCAAATTATAAATAAATTATAAATAATTTATTTATATTTCGATGAAATAGAAAAAGAATTGCATGAATTAGTCTAGGAAAATGAAATAATAGATGATATAGATTAAAATATTTGTTTAATATTGTGTTAAATTTTCAACACAGAAACCGCAATTTTATTCGTTGTATTATTTTTTATCGATATCGATATGAAACAGACGCAAACAACTTTTCCTTTCAATGATAAATAAAAATCAAATTTTGATCGATGAAAAAGAAAAAAAATAATAACAATCACATTTCTAATCTCTATGGAAATTTAAGAGCGAATCATCGATTATATTTACATTTCATAAATTCCAAGAACGAGATCTCCGAGTTGGCGCGAACAGACGTGTCGTTAAGAACAGATCCGAAAGATCCTCTTCCTTTGGATCCGAAAAACGAAATTCAATTCGGGCACCACCACGAATAGATCCACCTGTAGATCGAAACCAGGACCGTCAACGATATCGGGAATCGTTGAAAGCAACAACGAAAGTCGATACTCTCCGTGTTCTAGCCATCCCCATTCGTCGAGTTTCGACGCGTGACGATTATTTATCTCGGATAAATAGGGTTCTTCTTCCATTCTCGAGGTGGAAATTATAAAGAAAAATTGTACATAGCTCCCGTGTAAATAGTGTAGCAAGGATTATTATATCGCGCACGACGCTCGAAAACGGTTTTCCTTCCACACCTTTCACACCTTCTGTTTTCCTTTTCACTCGCAGCCAACCTTCGAAATTCAGTAGACCGCGGAATTTATTAAGAGATCGTGTGAAAATTTCGGGGAAATAAGTGCACGATGAAATAACTTGGATGCAAAGTGTTTTTTTTTTTTTTCACGATATCTCTACGAGGGTGAGAACGGATTTTTTTATTTTTATATATATTTTTTTTTTCTTTCCTCGTTCGCGTCGAATTTTGTTGAATTATGAAAATTTTATATCGCATAAATGACTTTGTCCGCGGTCTATCCGTCGGAGTTCTCGATGATGATCGAGATTTTAGAAGTTTACAGTTTATATGCACACACGTATTATGTAATTGAAACGATTCACCCCCTTTTCACGATTTGATCAATTAACCGAATCGAGTTATTCTAATGAACGGTAGTGTTAGATTGCTAATCCTACGGTGTTTCGTTTCGAACGAATGTATTAGATTGGTGGGTGTGAAGTTTTCTTCTTCTTCTTTTTTTCTTTTTTAATTTTGTCTTGTCGATCGATCATTAAAGAGGGGGAAATTTATTACAAGTTATTTATATTGAATTATATTTATATTGCGACTCGTCAGAAATTATCAGGATATTCTTGTGCAAATATTTATCTTTTATATAAAAGGTTAATATTGTTTTTAATATTGTTATTCTAAATTTTTAATCAATTTGACTTCTGCCAGAAACGAGCAGGATATTCTTTTATCCTTAAATTTATATTAATTTTGACTTGAAACAAAAAACCGTTAAAAATTTTTAATGTAAACGCACTTTGTCTACATAATTCTTTTATCTTTTTTTTTTCCAATAATAATTCGCGTTTCAAAGTAACTTTAGAAACTTAGAATAGATTGTAAATACCGTGTGAAAAAAATTCAATAAATTCCTATCGACAAGCAGAATTTGGAAATTAATTGCAAACAATATGAAATGTTTTCTTAGAAAAAAATTTCTTTTATCCAAGAGATATTTCGTACGCGCCAATCTAATACACGGACACAGATCGGGATAAGAGTTTCGTGCAGCGGAACAGTCAAAAGGAGAACGTGTTTTTCGCGCGGTCGTTTGATTCGTAATCACTGTACATAGATCCCTTTGATTCGTCGAAAGAATACGTCGTCGTCGTCGTCGTCGTCGTCGTCGTCGTCGCGTTCCCCTTTCCAAACGTTTTCTCGTTTCGCTCCATCCTTTTTAATCGAGGGAAAAAGTGGAGAAAGGGGAAAAAAATTTCTTCCTTTTCTTCGTCGTTTAGTATATTTAAAAGATTAAGAGATACGGCATGTGATGAAATTCTTCGTTAATTAATCGAATAAACGCTCGACGGTCAAACGATACTTTCGTTTCGATTTTTTTTTTTTTTTAAA